CAGAAGCCTAAGCTACTCCTTAGGGGCCAGACCAGGGCAGAAGCCTAAGCTACTCCTTAGGGGCCAGACCAGGGTTTTCCCAGACCTCTGCCAGCCAGCTCCTCAGAGGCCCCTCAGAGGCCCAAGGTCCTGACCTCCGCAAGGTCCACACACCCTCACTCCCAGGCTCCTGGCCACGCCCCTGGGCATTTCTGTTTGGTCCTATTGGTCACAACCCTGTGAGCTCGGGTAGTCGTTAACCCTTTCTTGCTGGGGCTCACAAGGGTACAGGGTTCAGGTCAGCAAAGGGGGTGGACACAGGAGCCAAACCAGGGCCAAGGGTCAGGGCCAGGGGGTTGGACCACAGGGAGTGTACTTAAGAGCCCACGGTGGTCCCTATGGGATGTGCCTCCACAGTATGCCAGCCTCCTCCAGCCACCTTGCCGGGGTCTCCAAGTGGTTGCTGTCCTGCGATGGGTCTTCTACTTGGGGCTCGGTGAGGCTCAGCACCTGGCACTCTGCTTCCCTGTTACCAGGAGGGAGGCAGGACAGGGCTCTCTGGGGGCCGCTGAAGGAATGAGAAGGAATTAGCTGGGCAAGAGGGCCTCCAACAGGGACGAGAGGGCAGAGGCGGGTAACTGGGGACTTAAATGCCTGGGTCCTTAATATCCCCCACTCCATCCTCCAGCCCAGGTGTGCCTGGCCATGCTGCTCCTTGCTCTTCTAAGCCGAGCAGGGACACGCCGAGGGCAGGAGGCCGACGATCTGCCTGGGTCCGCAGCTGGGCCATCTGGAGACATTTCCCAGATTGTGTCCCTGTCTTGGTGAGGCCATCCAGGAGTGGTGTGCTGGGTGGGGGCAAGGCTTTGGAATAGACTCTTCTCTGGTTACCCCCCAAAGTCTAATCTCACGGTCAGAGTGGAGTATGTTGCCTCTGCCCCCAGCTGGTTAAAACCGCAGAACTGGATCCCTCTGGCAACTACCTCTTCAGCTTCCACCCTCACGGGGTCCTGGTCACCGGGGCCTTCAGCAACTTCTGCACGGAGGCCACCGGCTTCTCCAGCCTCTTCCCTGGCCTCCAGCCACACCTCCTCATGCTGCCTTGTTGGTTCTACCTCCCTCTCTTCCCAGACTACATCACGTGTAGTGGTGAGAAGTGGGGAGATCCCCCAATCCCTGCTGTGTCACCCCCCACATCCCTGGGGTGGGGGGGTGGGAGCTCCTGGTCCCAGCTCTACCTTCCTGGCACCCTCCTCCCCCTTTTCTCAAAGACCCAGGCATCTGGGCCCCCTCTCCCCTCCCCCAGCTTTGGTGTCCACTGACAAGGCCAGCGGCTGCCTATCTGTTGTTCCGGCCTGGGGGCGGCCAGGTGGCGGTCCTGGACTTGGGAGGGCCCCTGGAAGCGCTGGAAGCAAAAGCCGGCGAGCTGATTTTGTGGATCCGGAATCAGAAGGGCTTTGTCGCGTTGGCGCGGGAACAAGGGTGAGGAAGCCGCAGTGGCCGGGCGGGACGCTCGCGGGCTACCCTGGCGCGGAGGAGCGTGGCGCGCCGGCGAAACCCGGAGGCAGGCGCGCCTCTGCTCTCCCCCAGGGCCTCCCTGGTGCCCTGCTTTCTCTTTCGGGGACAACGAGCTCTTCCAGCAGTTCCCGAACCCTCCCGGCTCGCGGTTGCGGAGCGCGCGGGAGGCGCTGCAGCCGCTGCTGAGCGTGGCCCTGCCGCTGTTCCAAGGTCCCTTGGGCCTCCTCCTGCCTTTCCGCACGCCCGTCCACACCGTCGGTGAGCCCCGGCCTCTGCCCCCTCCGCTCCCCGCCGGCGCACCGGCTCCCGCGGAGCTCCGGCCCCGCGCGCTCCCGGCGCCAGGAGGTGAAGGTCGCTGCCTGCCGGCCACGCCTTGGCCGCGCCTCATCCCCTTTGGCAACCGGCCAGGCCCTGAACACTGTCCCGGACGGTCGCGCGGCTGGGCGGGAAGGGCACGGGCTGGAGATCCCAACCACCGCCCCTCTGGCGTCCCGTTCTGCCCACAGTGGGGGCCCCGATCCCGGTGCAGCGAAGCCCGCGGCCCAGCCGGGCGCAGGTGGACGCGCTGCCCGCGCTCTCGCGCAGCTGTTCGAGCAGCGCAAGGCGCGCTACGGCCTCCCGGCCCACCCGCACCCCCTCCTCGCCCGGGCGCGCCGCCCCCGCCCTCCCGGTGCCCGCGGCGGCCGTGGTGGTGGTGGGGGGAATTAAACGTGGCAACAGAGCTGCGGTGTGTGCGTGTTTGTGCGGGGCCGTGCCTCCGGGTGATCTTGACCCTCCCGGAGACCTGCACCCAGATCCGGGGCGCGCAGCGGGGGCGTGCCCCGCCGCCCTGGAGATCCCACGGTCTCAGCGGAGCTTCTGGCCCCCGCCCGCGGCTGGGACCCGGTGGGCGGGCTCCCCGGCTCCTTCTGAGCCTCCTCCCCACATCAGTTCCCGGACAGCTGACACACTCACTATATCCCTCACCTATTCCCTGCAGCCTCCCAGCTCCGCCCAGCGACCGGCCCAAACCGACTAACGCTTGCAGTTCAAAGATTATTCTGGGGACATCTGGGGCTCCGGATCCACACACACGCGCAACACACCCGCAGTCCCGGGAGAGCCCAACCTTCTTCGTTTGTGCTCCGGGCCCTGGAGCCTCGCTGGCAGAGGGCAACGACTGGGACAGGAGTCTCCACAGCCCCGCCGCGACCCCACCATGGAATCCGTGCAGAAACAGTGGCCAGAAGTAGTGAGCGCCTACCAATACGTGCTCACTTTCCTCTTCATGGGTGAGAGGCCTGGTGCCCTGGGGTCCCCAAAGGGAGCAGGGACCTGGGGGAGAAAGGCTGGGGCCCCATTTGCCTGTGTGCCTAAGGGCAAAGGGACCAGGAGAGGGCCAGAGTTCAGGCTGGGAGATGGCTGGGTACACACCAGCCGTCTGTGAGGGGGGAGGAGAGAGCCGCTGCATGGAATGACCCATCTTCCAAAGCTAATGCACTCTTCTTTGTCATCTTTCCCGCAGGCCCTTTCTTCTCCCTTCTCGTCCTCTTCCTCCTCTTCACGTCATTCTGGTCCGTCTCTGTTCTCTACTTGGTGTGGTTCCTCCTGGACTGGGACAGGCCTAACCAAGGTGAGTGCTGCTGGGCATGTGCCCAAGGAGCGGAGATGGTGGCCAGGTGCCTCCAGAAATTCTTCAAAGCATCTCTCTGCCCCAAGGTGGAAGGCGCTTTGAGTGGACCAGGAACTGGGCCATGTGGAAACACGCCAGGGATTATTATCCTATCAAGGTGACAGGTTACCCTCCACAGAGACAGTCTTCCTCCTCCCTCTCCTCAACCCCCACCCCCACCCCTACTCACCCCTGCCTATGCACCCTGGGCTCCCTAAACTCAGACAGTGGGGCATGGGGCAGGGGCTGCCGAGTGGTGTTCCAGAATAGGCTCTCTGTGCTGCGCACTCCATTCAAGGACCTTGGACTCTGAAGTCGGTTAGGGTGGAGGGCAACTCTTTTCAGCTGGTGTCCTGCCTTCCACGCCTCTTTCCCCTCATCCTACCTAATCCCCTCTGCCCCAAGCTGGTGAAAACAGCCGAGCTGCCCCCTGACCGGAACTATGTGCTGGGTGCCCACCCACATGGGATCATGTGCATCGGAACCTTCTGCAATTTCTCCACCGAGGCCAACAACTTCTCCAAGCAGTTCCCGGGGATTCAGGTCTCACCGGCAGTGCTGGCCTCCCTCTTCCACTTCCCAATCTATCGTGACTACATCATGTCCTATGGTGAGCCTCGAGCTGAGTGGGATGAGGCACCTGTTCCCTCCGCCCACCCTTGACTGCCTCCCACGCACCTCACACAGGGACCTGGCCTAAACATTGGCCTGGCTCACAGTGGGCATCAGTGAATAGCTCTGGTTGCAGCAAATGTCCTGCATCCTTGCTGGGAGAGGCACTGTAGGTCACACCGACACGGGCGTGGGGATGGCAGGTTTGGAGGGAATGGGGTGTGGGGCTCACTAAAGGGTGGGTGAGGGGCTAGGCAGCCCAGGAGGGCATGGTGACCGTTCCCCACCTCCTCACACACGCAGGAATATGTTCTGTGAACTGGCGGAGCCTGAACTTTGTTCTGTCACAGCGCCGGCTCGGGCAGGCTGTAATCATCATGGTTGGGGGTGCCCAGGAGTCCCTGTATGCCATCCCAGGAAAGCACTGCCTCATTCTCCGGGATCGCAAAGGCTTCGTGCGCCTGGCACTGAGGCATGGGTGAGTGGGGTGCAGGTGCCCAGCCCGGGGCTGCTGTTGATGGTCAGAACTTCACATTGTGTCTGCGGCTCTACACTCTTTTGTCCCTACCCATCCAGGTCCCTGTAGCCGGGCCTCTGTGTCCCCAGAGCCCACACTGTGCTCCCCGGTGCATGTCAACACTTGAGCACTTTCTCTGTGCCAAGCACCGTGCCCACTTTTGCCAGGCTTCTGCCCTCTCTGAAGGAGCAGGATCATAGTGCAAGTAGCAGGACCTTGGGCTCAGGAGTCCTGGACTCAAAGCCCTTTCTGACACTACCTCAAAGGCGAGACCTTGGACATGTTTCTTTACCTGTGAGATAGGACTAATACTTAACCTTGCTACAATGTTGTAGTTGCAGAGACTTGATGAGAAAATGTATACAGTTGACCCTTGAACAACATGGGTTTGAACTGCAACAGGTCCCTTATACACGGATTTTTTTTACAATATAGTACTGTAAATGTATTTTCTCTTCCTGATGATTTTCCTTTTTTTAAGATTTGATTCATTTATTTATTTGAGAGAGAAAGTACATGCGTGAGTGGAGGGAGGAGCAGAGGGAGAGGCAGAGAACCTCAAGCAGACTCCACACTGAGTGCAGAGTCCAACTTGGGTTTCGGTTCCACAACCCTGAGATCATGACCTGAGCTGAAACCAAGAGTTAGCCGCTCGGCCAACTGAGCCACCCTGGCACCCCCTGATGATTTTTTTTTTTTTAGATTTTATTTGTTTGAAAGAGAGAGAGAGCGGGAGAAAGAGCATGAGTTGGGGGAGGGGCAGAGGGAGAGAGAATCTTAAGCAGACACCCTGCTGAGTGCAGAGCCTGACACGGGGCTGGATCCCAGGACCCTGGGATCATGACCTGAGCTGAAGGCAGGCGCTTAACCGACTGAGCCACCCAGGCGCCCCTAGCTTACTTTATTATAAGAATACTGTATATAGTACATATACAAAATATTTGTTAATCGACTATGTTATTGGCCATGCTATTAGTAGTTAAGTTTTGGGGGAGTGTTAAGTTATATGAGGATTTTTGGGGTGGGGGTCAGTGCCCCTTACCCCGTGTCGTTCAAGGGTCAACATATGAAGGCCCAGGACACAATCATTTCTCAAGAATTGTGAGTCCCAGACGAACCATGAGAGACGATGGACTCTGGAAAACAAACTGGGGGTTCTAGAGGGGAGGGGGGGGGGAGGATGGGTTGGCCTGGTGGTGGGTATGGAGGAGGGCACGTTCTGCATGGAGCACTGGGTGTTGTGCACGAACAATGAATCATGGAACACTTCATCTAGAACTAATGATGTAATGTATGGGGATTAACATAAGAATGAAAACAAAACTATAGAAAAAACAAAAAAAAAGAATTGTGAGTCCCTTCGTCCAGATCTTTCTCTGTCATTTGCTCGAAACGGCCTTGGGCAGTGGAATCCGGAGGTGTAGGGAGGGATTTGCGGCTCTGTCTTGGGATGCTCCGAAAGCCACTGGCCTGACCGCCCTTCTTTCCTCTCCTTGTCCCTTCCCAGGGCCTCCCTAGTACCTGTGTACTCCTTTGGGGAGAACGATGTCTTTAATTTTAAGGCTTTTGCCACAAACTCCTGGCAGTATATGTGCCAGATCACCTTCAAGAAAATCATGGGCTTTGCTCCTTGCATCTTCTGGGGCCACGGGCTCTTCTCGGCCAACTCCTGGGGCCTGGTGCCCTTCGCCAGGCCCATCACCACTGTGGGTGAGTACCCATCTCCAGGCAAGAAAGCTGCTGTCGGCTGTGTGGGCAACAGAGCTCCCCCGCCAACCTCTGTCTCTCCTCTTCCTGCAGTGGGCCGCCCCATCCCAGTGCCCCAGCGCCTGGACCCCACTGAGGAGGAAGTTGACCGCTATCACATGCTCTATATGGAGGCTCTGGAGCAACTCTTCGAGGACCACAAGGAAAGCTGCGGTGTTCCAGCTTCTACTCACCTCACCTTTATCTAGCCCTTGCCGTCCCCCCCGCCCCCAGCCCTGAGCCCCTCAGCCCAGGGCACCGAGACCCTCCACCTACTGCCTCTCTGTACTGCTCCTTCTCTCCCACCACTATGTTGTAGAATCTGATGCCTGCAGGGCTTGCACCCTGGCTCTGGGGGTAAGGGGGCCCAGGCATGATCCACCCTCATTCTCCTGTACTGCGAAGCTGCTGCTTTGGATTGGGGATCGGAATTCCCCTCCCAGCAAGCCTTAATTCTGCTGCATGACCTTGCGTACATCTCTTTCCTTTGCTGAGCCCTTTCTCCCTCTGTGAATGAAGGTGTCTGCTTCCCCAAGAGCTGTAGGGCCTTGGGATTAAGTTGGGGCGGGCGGCTCTAGGGAGGGGTTCGCTTTGCAGGGTGAGCTGGAGAAGATAGGATGGATGGTGGAATAGTCAGCCTGAGCAAAAGCTGAGCTTGGTTAAGGGTTCCTGGCCATATGGGAAGTGGGGTGATCTCCGATGGTAGAAAAGGTAGCGTTGGTCCATAGCTTGCTACTGCACCCCTCTCCATCCTTTATGTTTCCTTGTGGCTGGGAGATGAATGAAACAGGGACCTGTTTGATCAGCACGAAGCCCAGCTGCTAGCCCAGTGTTAGGTCAACATTAACAGGACTCGTGTGATGATCAAAGAATTAAGATGTAAGGGCTTAGAACGGAGATTGGCAAAATATCATCATTCCTCATCACAGACAAGGTGTCAGTCCAAGGAGAGGGTAAGACCGGACAGTCTAAGGGTCCTCATGTGGTCATAGCATTCCCTGACAACATCAGTCCTGTTGGCTGACTGGCTTTGCGTCTGTATCCAGGACTTCAGAAAAACTTGCTGAAATGTAATTGGAATGCAACCGTATTAGTCTCCCACTGTCCTATAAAATACATTCAGCGGAAGAATTTTTTTGTTGTTGTTGTTCCTGGAGGAAAATCTGAGCAGCCCCGGGACTTACCTGGGTCACAGGTGGTAACTTCTTCATTCACCTTAAGTTGGTACATAGACATGTAGCGTGAGTAGTAATCCACACTTGGATCTTCATCCAAGGGTAGGAACCTTCCATCTCCAGCAAGGGCAGCAAGTGGGATACCTGCTTGACCAGAAGGGGCAGCTGGGGAAGGTGGAGTAGAAAGGGGATGGAGTTGACCTCTTTCTTCCCCCACCTCCTCCTCCCTTTCTAGCCTCTGTTACTGAACCCTAGGGACTGGAGTATGGGGCAGAGGAGGAGAAAGAGGATCCCAAACATTCTTGACGACATTGTCCTAGGATAGCTTCATACTCTCTGGGCCTCCAGACCTTCCAAGCTGATTCCTTTTCCTCGGGGCGGGGGGGCTCTCCTGGATTCTCCAGAGTATTCTCTTTTAGATTCCTCTGCCTCATCATCTGTCCCTGGTTTTGGGCCCATGGCACTCGACATAGGATTTCTCCTTAGGAATCCCATTGCTTTTCTAGGCTGGGAAGTAGAAAGAGGGATGGAAAATAAACAGCTCCGGGTTGGAACATGCTTAGCTTGGATACCATTAGAATATAGGCTGGGCTCAATGCAGCCACTTGTCCTTCCTTCTTTCCTGGATGGGAACATCCAGTCAGCTACCATCTAGCCATTAGACTTCTCTGGTGGACACGTCCCCCAAACCCTGGGGCATGCTGACCTCTTTGAGTCTTGCAACCTTTGTCACTGATCCTGTGGAGAAAAGCCTTGCCCTCCAGGGGTAAGGCTCGCAGAGCTCAGAAGTCCTTCCCCCACACCTCTCTCCTTCTTGTCCAAATTCCAATCTTTGTCATGGGTCGGGGACTCAAGAGTATCTTCTCAATCATTTACTTGGAATATGCGGTCTTGCTTGTTGCATGTTGTCTGGTCTGGTCACCTCTGGAATGCATCGCCTACTTGTTGGAACTTCGTGCCCCAAACTTTAAGGATAGCATCACATGTTTTTCTCTGGATTCTATCCCAGAGGGACAAAGGCACCAACTTCTAGTGAGAACCTGCCACCAAGAGCTGGTGGTATGAGGATTAGATCGCTGTGGGCCTTCCTCCAAGAACCCCCCTGCCCTTCTCCCCTGTGAGTGGTAGATGCCTATCTCTGGGGAGGGGAGGTTGGGCTGGGTGGTAGGTGAGGAGTGGGACCTTTGAGGACTGGGGGAGAGGGAGGAGAGGACTTCACTCCCCATCATTCATTTCTCCTGTCTGAAATCCAAGACCAATAGAGTCAGGGGATGGGAGGGATTGGCCTGAGGCTGGAGAGAAACAGGAGAGGCCAAGAAGCTCAGTAAGGACTGGGTTGGCCCTAGAGTAAAAAGGAGTAAAGTGCTCCCAGTACTTGTGAAAACAACTGGGCAAGTTTCTCAAGAAAGTGATCATGTCTGATCCCGGTGGAGAGAGGGAGAATTGAGAGGGAACATTATGGTTCATGTGGAGACATCTGGGTGAGAGGAGATGTCACAACACAAACCAGAAAGGTCCGGGAAGTTCAAGATCAGGCTTCTGTCTCTGGGAGAGAGACTGGGTGCCCATATCCATATGTGTGTTTTGGGGGTGGGGTGCAGCAAGCAGAATGTGTCATGAGTGCTGAGGGCTTGGCAAGACTATGCAGGGCAGAGGGAGTTGGAAATGACACCCCTGGGGCGCCTGGGTGGCTCAGGTCATGATCCCGGCATCCTGGGATTGAGCCCTGCATGGGGCTCCCTGCTCAGCAGGGAGTCTGCTTCTCCCTCTGCCTCTGCCCCTCCCCCTGCTTGTGCTCTCTCTCTCTCTCAAATAAATAAAATCTTTTAAAAAAGAAAAGAAGATGACACCCCTGGACAATGACAATTGTCCCCTGCTGGATTGAGATACCAGGTGAGACACTCAGAATGGCTCTTTGCACATCAGTCCCCTGTTTCCCAGAAGCTGCTCTCATATGGGACCGCTCCTCAGCAATCAGAGAGGTCTTGCCTCTTCTCTCCCAACCAACCCCTTCTCCTGCTGTCAAGATGCTCTTTGAAAAACACTGCTTTCTTCATGTAATTCTCCCTGCTGGATCCTCACTGTCACTGGATTCTCGTTGTTAGAAGGTGTGAAATCCTCAGCCCAGCATTCGAGGTAGCCTTCAAACAGAGCCCAGCCCGGCTTCCCAGCCATCCCTGACTCGGCCCTCCTTCCTAAGTCGAGAATGGATGGAACTCCTACCAAGGAGTCACAGCTCAGCTCCCAGGGTTCAGCCCTCACTATGTGCGGACCTTCAGGTTCACGCACTGCCTCTAATCCTCCCATCTACACCACAGTGTCCCCGCTGAGCTCGAAATGAGGTATGCACAGAAAGGCTTAGCGTGGCACCTGGCAGGGTGCTCAGCAAACATTAGTTATCGTCACTCTTATCTCGCCCACCTCTTTCCACACAATCTTTTCCTAGCCATGGCCACATCCCAAGCCTTACACTATGGGATCCGCATTATGTGCACCATCACATTATGTGGACTGGTGTTCTGTTACCTCAAACATATGGCTCATCCACGATCTTTTTTTTTTTTCTAAAGATTTTATTTATTTGACAGAGAGAGAGATAGCGAGAGCAGGAACACAAGCAGGGGGAGTGGGAGAGGGAGAAGCAGGCCTCCTGCCGAGCAGGGAGCCCGATGCGGGGCTCGATCCCGGGACCCTGGGATCATGACCTGAGCCGAAGGCAGACGCTTAACGACTGAGCCACCCAGGCGCCCTCATCCACGATCTTTTATCTCATATTATTAAATGCGGATGTTAAGGGCGGGGAGTGTGTCTTGTTTGTTTTTGCATTTTGACCGTGTTCTGGTGATGGCCATGCACCAGGCATGAACAAATGAAGCGTGTCCAAGAGACCTGTGCAGAGGGAACCAGCTGCGTCATTTGTAGATTGTGCCCAGCACCAGGAAGCCCAGCTGGGGGGAGGGGGCAGGGGTGCATGGGAATTCCCTTCACAGAGCCAGAAGCGGGGGGGGGGGGTGGTTGCATCCATTGTGGGAAGAGAGGAAGATATACTAGTTTCCTAACAAAGCACCACTCACTTGGTGATTTGGTTTTTTTCTAGATTTTATTTATTTATTTGACAGAGACAGAGAGAGTGAGCACAGGTGGGGGGTGGGGGGTGAGGGGGTGGCAGGCAGAGGGAGAGGGAGAAGTAGGCACCCTGCACAGCAAGGAGCCTGATGTGGGACTCGATCCCAGGACCCTGAGATCATGACCTGAACCAAAGGCAGACACTTAACCGACTGAGCCACGCAGGCGCCCCGCACTTGGTGATTTAAAACAACAAAAATTGATTGTCTCACAATTCTGGAGACCAGAATCGAGTGTCAGCAGGGTCTGTTCCCTCTGAAACCTGTAGAAGAGAAACCCTCCCTCCCTTCTTCCAGCCCTGGGTGGTGCCATCAATCCTTGGCCCACACCTATGTCACCCAGTCTCTGTCTCTGCTGTCACATGGCCTTCTCCCTCTGTGTCTCATCCAAATCTCCCTCTCCTTATAGAACGCCAGTTCTAGATTCGATTAGGGCCCACCCTTATTCAGTATGACCTCATCTTAATTTGATTATGTCTGCAAATAACCCATCTTCAAATAAGGTCTCTTTTGCGGGTACTAAGGGTTAGGACTTCAATATATCTTTTTGGGGTGGGGAGGGGGGAACAATTCAGCCCTCAACAGCTGCCTTTTAAAAATTCACACGGAAGTCCTCTCTGCTTATGCCTGGGGTCTGCACAACCCCCCCAGAGATGGTCTTTTGTGCAAATTATGTTGGGTGGTGGTGAGCATTCACTACGGGATCTTTTCTTGGGGAAGTGTGCGTGGCAGGTGCATAGATACAAGAACACGGATCACTAGACCTTCCTGAAGTGTCTATTGTATTTTCAAGAGGTCTGGGGCCCACAGTACAAAACCGTTAATGAACTTCCCAGTGTCACTCCTTTTCCAATGTAGCCGAATGATAAACCCCAACACTGTGATTTCTCCTCCTGATCTGGAAGAGTCTAACTTACAAATATATGAACTGAGGAAACCTTATGAGTAACTTGATGCCTCCTCTGGCTTTTTCCTTCCCTGTCATCCTCCATGTGGCCACCAGAGGGCTGTCTCTACTCACAAGGCAAAAGTGTCACTCCTGCTTAAAACCTTCCCCCCGCTGCCCACAAGATGGGTACAACCCAGAACTACTTCTTCTTGTGAAGCAGGCTGTTGCTCTGGGCTTTGCTCAGGCTGTCCCCTCCTCCTTGGCGAGACCTTGCCTTTCTTTATCCTTCTGGAGGGGATTTTTTTTTTAAGATTTTATTTTTAAGTAATCTCTATACCCAACGTGGGGCTCGAACTCATAATCCTGACATCAAGAGTCTCAAGCTCTAAGGACTGATCCAGACCGGCGCTCCTGGAGGGGAATTTTTAATACCCAGTTAAGGTGGCATTTCTAGGACACCTCCCTTAACCTATCAGCCTGCCAGGTTGGTTCAGGGCATCCCACCTCTGCATCCCTAAGAGCTCCATCACAACCCTTCTGTGTCACTGTGATGCACCAGTTTATCCAAAAAGTTGGATAACTTGAGCATCTGGAAGGGACAGTAACTGTATCATATTAAACATGCTTAAAACCCATGAGTTCATAGTGGTTCTAAAAATAATAATTGATCACCACTGAAAGTTGTTGAGGCATCAACTTTTTATTTTGAAGACCAACAAATAAAAGGAAAAAATTTAAAGCATTTAAATGTCCATGGAGCCGGACGTGGGGCTCGATCTCACGACCCTGAGATCATGACCTGAGCTGAAATCAGGAGTCGGTTGCTTAAGAGACTGAGCCACCCAGGCGCCCCCAGACATTTATTTCTCATGGGTCTGGAGGCTACAAGTCCATGATCAAGGTGTTGGTAGATTCAGTTTCTGGTGAGAGCTCTCTTCCTGGCC